GTAAGGACACAAAAGGACAGGTGAGCACAGGTAAGAACAGGTAAGGACAGGTGAGACAGGTAAGGACACAAAAGAACAGGTGAGCACAGGTAAGAACAGCTAAGTACAGGTGAGACAGGTAAGGACACAAAAGGACAAGTGAGACAGGTGAGAACAGGTAAGGACAGGTAAGACAAGTAAGAACACAAAAGGACAGGAGAGAACAGGTGAGAACAGGTAAGGACAAGTGAGCACAGGTGAGAACAGGTGAGGACAGGTGAGCACAGGTGAGATCAGATAACACATAAGGACGAGCAAGAACAGGTAAGAACAGGTGAGAACAGGTCAGGAAAAGTGAGCACAGGTGAGCACAGGTGAGAACAGGTGAGGACAGGTGAGACAGGTGAGATCAGATAACACCTAAGGATGAGTAAGGACAGGTAAGAACAGGTGAGAATAGGTAAGGAAAGGTGAGAACAGGTGAGGCCAGGTGAGGCCAGGTGAGGCCAGGTGAGCACAAGTGGGGACAGGTGAGATCAGATAACACATAAGGACAGGTAAGAACAGGTAAGAACAGGTAAGGAAAGGTGAGAAAGGTGAGCACAGGTGAGAACAGATGAGGCAGGTAAGGACACAAAAGGACAGGTGAGCACAGGTGAGAACAGAAAACACACAAGGACAAATAAAGACAGGTAAGAACAAGTAAGGAAAGGTGAGACAGGTGAGGACAGGGGAAAACAGGTGAGCACAGGTGAGGCCGTACCTGTTGTACCAGTTGAAGAGCAGCCAGTTGACCCCCTCCAGTTGATACTCGCGCAGCCGGTTGTGGTTCTTGTACTCCCGCGACGCCTCCAGCTTCTGCCACGCCCCCGCCTGCGGGCGGGGCTGGGGACATGCCCCAAAATGGGGGGGGGACAGGTGAGGGACACGCCCAGGTGAGGGACACGCCCCAAAGGGGGACACAGGTGAGGGACACGCCCAGGTGAGGGACACGCCCCAAATGGGGACACAGGTGAGGGCCACGCCCCAAAAGGGCAGACACAGGTGAGGGACACGCCCCCAGGGACACACCCAGGGGGACAGGTGAGGCACAGGTAAGGACAGATAAGGACAGGTAAGGAACGCACCCAGGGGGACACGCAGGTGAGGGACACACCCAGAGACACACCCCAGGGACACACCCAGGGGGACACAGGTGAGGCACAGGTAAGGACAGGTAAGGACACTTAAGGGACACGCCCAGGGGACAGGTGAGACACAGGTAAGGACAGATAAAGACAGGTGAGGGACACGCCCAGGGACACACCCAGGGACACACAGGTGAGAGAGACATAAGGGACACGCCCAGGGGACAGGTGAGTCACAGGTAAGGACAGGTGAGGGACAGGACAGGTAAGGGACACCCCCAAATGGGGACACCCAGGTGAGGGACATGCCCCAGGGACACACCCAGGGGGACACAGGTGAGACACAGGTAAGGACAAATAAAGACAGGTGAGGGACACGCCCCCAGGGACACACCCAGGGACACACAGGTGAGACACAGGTAAGGACAGGTAAGGGACACGCCCCCAGGGACACACCCAGGGGCACACAGGTGAGGGACACACCCAGGGGGACAAGTGAGACACAGGTAAGGACAGGTAAGGACAGGTGAGGGATGCACCCAGGGGGACACAGGTGATGGACACGCCCAGGGACACACCCAGGTGAGGGACACGCCCAAGAAAGACACCAGGGACACACCCAGGGACACACCCAGGTGAGGGACACACCCCAGAGGGGACACAGGTGAGAGACACACCCAGGGGGACACACCCAGGGCCACACCCAGGTGAGAGACACACCCAGGGGACACACCCAGGGACATAAAGGTGAGGGGACACGCCCAGGGACACACCCAGGTGAGGGACACGCCCAAGAAAAACACCAGGGACACCCAGGTGAGGGACACGCCCAGGGGACACACCCAGGGCCACGCCCAGGTAAGAGACACACCCAGGGGCATAAAGGTGGGGGGACACGCCCAGGGGGACACACAGGTGATGGACACACCCAGGGACACACCCAAGTGAGTGCCACGCCCACTTTTTGCCCACTTTTACCTGTCTCTTGAGCTCGGGGTTTCGCGCCTGCACCCGTCGGAACTCGGCCACCTTGGCCTCGTCCACGTCCTCCTGCAGCTCCCACGTGCTGTCCTCGTACGGCAGAGAGCACCACTTCACCAGGAAGTACACCACCGGCTGCACAATCCACAAAAATTCAATTTTGGGGGTCAAAAAACACTCAGATTTATCAAAAATTTAATTTCGGGGGGGCTACGACACTCGGTTCCATCAAAAATCTGATTTTTAGAGCTCAAAATCCATCAAAAGTCTGATTTTTAGAGC